TAAAATGTGTGCATGTAAAAAAAAAATTGTGTCTTGTTCAAAACTACGGTAGAAAACAGTTATGGTTGGGGTGGAATTTTCCAACGAAATAGAATTCGTATAAATATTATATGCTTTAATAAGTATACCCCACTCCTTGAAAATTTAAATCTTCCCCCTCCCCTTCGAAAGTTTCAAGTGCCCCCCCCCCTCATTCGGAGAAAAATAGCAGGAAAAACCACTGGTTATAACCATTACAAGTATCCTCCATGAAAATTTAACCCCCCCCCCCCCACCCCGATAGTTTCAAGTGCCTCTTCCACCCTCCCCCCATCCTACCTATCGGAGAAAAAATGTCTGAAAGAAACACTGGTCATAACCATTACGATATTGAGATAGAGAAACCATCGGCACGAACTTCGTCAATGGCCTAGTTGTAAAAAAAAGATGAAGGATACATGTCAAGACACAGCGGCTGGTTTTTTTTTTACTTACCCTCTCCCCCCCTCCCTTCCCCCCCCCTTCCCGTCTCCCTTGCCCGGCCCCGTCTCCCCCCCCCCCCCCCGGTCCCATCTACTGTTATATGGAGGGTAAAGGCGATTGAACGGCCATCAGTGTTGTAGGTCACGTGGGCAATCAATACAGCCCAAAATGTCTATCTAGGTCACGTGTGGGCGGGAGGCCATGAAGGGAAACTAGATAGTGAGATAGGGCATGACGGGAAACTAGATAGTGAGATAGGGCATGACGGGAAACTAGATAGTGAGATAGGGCATGATGGGAAACTAGATAGTGAGATAGGGCATGATGGGAAACTAGATAGTGAGATAGGGCATGATGGGAAACTAGATAGTGAGATAGGGCATGATGGGAAACTAGATAGTGAGCTAGGGCATGATGGGAAACTAGATAGTGAGCTAGGGCATGACGGGAAACTAGATAGTGAGATAGGGCATGATGGGAAACTAGATAGTGAGCTAGGGCATGATGGGAAACTAGATAGTGAGCTAGGGCATGATGGGAAACTAGATAGTGAGATAGGGCATGATGGGAAACTAGATAGTGAGCTAGGGCATGATGGGAAACTAGATAGTGAGATAGGGCATGACGGGAAACTAGTGAGCTAGGGCATGATGGGAAACTAGATAGTGAGCTAGGGCATGATGGGAAACTAGATAGTGAGCTAGGGCATGATGGGAAACTAGATAGTGAGCTAGGGCATGATGGGAAACTAGATAGTGAGCTAGGGCATGATGGGAAACTAGATAGTGAGATAGGGCATGACGGGAAACTAGATAGGGTATGATGGGAAACTAGATAGTGAGCTAGGGCATGATGGGAAACTAGATAGTGAGATAGGGCATGATGGGAAACTAGATAGTGAGATAGGGCATGACGGGAAACTAGATGGTGAGATAGGGCATGATGGGAAACTAGATAGTGAGCTAGGGCATGACGGGAAACTAGATGGTGAGATAGGGCATGACGGGAAACTAGATAGTGAGATAGGGCATGACGGGAAACTAGATGGTGAGATAGGGCATGATGGGAAACTAGATAGTGAGCTAGGGCATGACGGGAAACTAGATGGTGAGATAGGGCATGACGGGAAACTAGATAGTGAGATAGGGCATGACGGGAAACTAGATGGTGAGATAGGGCATGATGGGAAACTAGATAGTGAGATAGGGCATGATGGGAAACTAGATAGTGAGATAGGGCATGATGGGAAACTAGATGGTGAGGTAGGGCATGATGGGAAACTAGATGGTGAGGTAGGGCATGATGGGAAACTAGATAGTGAGATAGGGCATGACGGGAAACTAGATAGGGTATGATGGGAAACTAGATAGTGAGCTAGGGCATGATGGGAAACTAGATAGTGAGATAGGGCATGATGGGAAACTAGATAGTGAGATAGGGCATGACGGGAAACTAGATGGTGAGATAGGGCATGATGGGAAACTAGATAGTGAGCTAGGGCATGACGGGAAACTAGATGGTGAGATAGGGCATGACGGGAAACTAGATAGTGAGATAGGGCATGACGGGAAACTAGATGGTGAGATAGGGCATGATGGGAAACTAGATAGTGAGCTAGGGCATGACGGGAAACTAGATGGTGAGATAGGGCATGACGGGAAACTAGATAGTGAGATAGGGCATGACGGGAAACTAGATGGTGAGATAGGGCATGATGGGAAACTAGATAGTGAGATAGGGCATGATGGGAAACTAGATAGTGAGATAGGGCATGATGGGAAACTAGATGGTGAGGTAGGGCATGATGGGAAACTAGATGGTGAGGTAGGGCATGATGGGAAACTAGATAGTGAGATAGGGCATGATGGGAAACTAGATAGTGAGATAGGGCATGATGGGAAACTAGATGGTGAGGTAGGGCATGATGGGAAACTAGATGGTGAGGTAGGGCATGATGGGAAACTAGATGGTGAGGTAGAGCATGATGGGAAACTAGATAGTGAGATAGGGCATGATGGGAAACTAGATAGTGAGATAG